TAGAAAAAAAAACCCAAGGGTTGCAAAAACTTAAAACCTTTAAGACTTTAAGGTTTAGATAGGACTCTTAGAGGCGGGCAGAGCAATTGGTGAGCCAGCAAATCAGTGAGCGGCGGGCGGGGCAAGAGTGGTGCGGACGGGCAGGGGGAGGGAGCTGGAACCGGTTCTAAACAGCACAGTAATTTGTGGAACTGGCAGGAACCCATCCCTGCATATAAAGTATTCTGGTTCTTAAAATGAAATAGTTCCCTTTCCATGAGCTTTTCTCAGAGAAACCAATGAATTAAATTGATGTCTCTGACAGACCTCCCAAAATCTGTGGGGCAGAACTGGTGACAGCTGAAAATCTGTTGCATAATACATACAAAAGTCAAAACTTAATCTGTATCAATACCTGACACATGTTTGTTTCAGGAAGTAGAGGAATAGCACAAGACTGAAGATAAAAGGTCACATTTACAAGACCTTTTTGATATGGATTGTTTGTACCAAAATGTCAGTAAGACTCTTCCTTACCCTGAAGCCAATGAAATAGATACAACTTGTTGTAACCCAGCTGGCCTTACCTGTATTTGGATTTGTCACATAATGATTCAAGGCACTGGTAAAATGCAGATGCCTCCACTCCATCAACTGGACTGCACTCATTGAGAGCTTGACGCGAACGATGCTGCCCAGACGACGATGTAGGCACAATCACGGTGTTTGGGTTTTTGCCTGTCAAGAGTTCTTGATAGATGGCAGCCACATTTTCAATAAACTCTATTCAAAAACAAAGATGAGTTGTAAAAATCACTGATGAATGTATTATAAGACTATGTGCTGTATATAAAAGACTGCATGAACTGTGTAGATAATTAATTCTATTCTAGTTATATATTGTACTTTTAGAATGTTTCACTGTTTCCAGTGCTGATATGAATATGCAATGACCAATATAAATATGCAACTTACTTGCTAATGTAGTCGCTATATATAAGCATTCTCCATCAGACTTCACAATTTTCCTGTTATTTACTCCCAGAGTCTACATATAAGCAAATTTTTTTAAACCATCCAGATCAGATGTGCAAGGATGTAGACTCCACTCTGAGTGTTTTGCATTCAGGCATATTGGTGGGTGACCTGAAACAACTGTTTAATTTGGATAACAACAGAAACGGTATCCAAAGGTATAAGTGTGCAAAACTTTGCACGTTTGATTGGAACCTGCAAAAGTGTATGTACTGAATGTGAAGGTTTGGAATTCTCGGAGGATGAAACAGATAATAAATTATTGCTTTTTATTTTCCTTTTTATGTTAGTTTGAACTCCAGAATAGCATAATCTCCCTCATACCAGTGGTGGGATTCAAATAATTTAACAATCGGTTCTCTGCCCTAATGACCAGCTGGGTAGGTGTGGCTCAGTAGTCATGTGACTGGGTGGGTGTGGCCAACTCAACGTCACTCATGTCGACGGGCACTTCGCCTTAGCTGTTACAATGTAATAAGGGTTAAGTGGAGAGGCAGTTTCTGTAAGCAGGGAAATGAAGATTAGGCTAGAAACAACACCCGAATGTTACCTTCCTGCCTTCCTTACAGGATTAGCTATGTAAAGTGGAAAAAAACAAAATGAGATTTCTTCCAACAACCGGTTCTCTGAACTGCTCAGAAAGTTAAAACCGGTTTTGCCGAATAGGTGTGAACTAGCTGAATCTCACCACTGCCTCATACATATGACATGATTGTAGAGAGAAAGATGACTTGAGGAAAGGGTTATTAATTGCCATGCAATTGAACCTTGTTTCGATAGAGAAATAACAGAGAAACTTGTCTTAGGAGTAGGGAATGAAATAAGCCATTTAGTACAATGCCCTCTGACATGATAATAAACATTTGCACACTATCATCATTATTACATTTTACTCTCAAATGAAAAACATTTATAATTGCCTCTTGCTTTCATTTAGTTCTCAACTGAGGAAAAACTGTACCTCAGAATAAAACAGCTTAGCCTGTTCTGAATATTTGGAATTTCCTGCACAAGCCTAAATACCTGTCAGCTGGCTTTAGCAAGAGGAAATTTTATGTTTTGTCCTAATACTATGTATCACAAAAGTTATTTTCTTCTTCCATTTCATTTTTTATTGCTTATTCACAAATTACCCAACCAAAGGTTCTAAAGTAGCAAATAAAGCAAATGAGTTTTAGAGATAATAGGTTTTATAAATTTAGTTGACTAGACTGGATCAGTTCAATAGGTTTTATTATAATTTTATACACTATTTTAAATTAGCTACTTTTTCATTTATTATATTTTCATGGATAGTTGCTGTTCTCTCCCTGTCTCTCATTCTCTCTCTCTTATACTGGTTATTAACCATAATTTTCAATACTGGAATTTCCTATATGCAATAGCCTTTTCTGAACCATGAGCAAAAGTCACATAGAGTTTATCTTATGTGTAGAATATGAAACTGTAACTCAACGTGCTGGGTAACTGTCAACAGCTTTTGAGCATTTCTGTATGCTGATTGATGAAAACAAATCTTGTAAACACATTTCAGGAAGATTTGCTCTACTAGAAACAAGGTAACATAGCTTGAGGATACCCCTGAGATGCCTTCAAGTTTCCCAACTTTAATCACGGGTGAAAAAATGGTGCTAAAACATGCCAGCTTTGCTTCCAACATCTCCCCAAGTAAGCAGGCTCTTGAATCTCCAATCTTCCTTAGATTTACAACTATTTCCCAACTATGGCTTGGAATCTGAAATATTTTAACAGAACTCTGATATTTATGGAGACAGAACTCATTGGTAAAGCTACATTTTATTATCTTAGAATTGTTTATCAACGTTTTTCACCTCTTCAGTTTTTATACATTCATTACTCCAATCTAAACCATCCTTACGTTACCTATGTAGAATTACCATCCCTGAATTCATGCATACAACAGTCATCACAGAGGTTGTAGTGTTGGTTTGATACTTACAGGAATTAACATCGCATGGGAAAGACCAGTTAAGTTTGTTTAATTATATGATAATGATTTTATACCAGGAGCAGTGGCTATCCTTCATTACTGATCTCAGTTTAAAGTCTGACATAACTTACAAAGTGTGCAAACATCTTGTTCTCTGACTTGCTACTAAAAGCATTCAGGTTGGTAATACCAGCAAAGCCTTTTCAATTGCCATTCCACTCTCATAATGTTTTCACTTAAGAAATTCTGTTGGGGTAGACATATACACATCACTGCTTTCTTTTTGGTCTTTACTATATATTTTTATCTATGCTGTTATCACTTATTTTTAAAGGTATTTTAATTGCAACTGCTTATTAAGACTTTCTCTAAAAGGCACAGTGGGAATATATTAATTAAACTTATGTGCGGAATAATCCTCAGATATACAGAACAAAGCTTGACATATAGATTTTGGACAGCACAGTTTTTACTATAGAGCAAAATTGTCTGACCAAGGTTGTTCCCAGTACTATGCTATCTGATCTGTCTGATTACATTAATCACAAATGTAGTAAAGTGGGATAGACTTGCCTGAGTAGTAAAACTGGATCTGGAAGGCAAACAGGAAGTCTGAAAAAGACATCAAACAGTCCACAGCATCATCCATTAAAACAATCCTGGAATCAAGAAGGAGAGAGCTCAGCAACAGCCAATGTGATGTACAGCAGAGATACAGGGCATCGGAAGTGAAGCAGAAATGTTTGGGACCGATAAAAGGAGCCACATTTTGTTCTATAGCTCTCTAAATCAGTCCCAGAATCTGTTGTATTAAATCCGAGTTTCTTCCTAATGCTTTAAGACGGGGTGGGCTTCAAAAATTTTAGCAAGGGGTTCTCTGCCTGGTTGCTGGGTGGGTGTGATCATGGTGGGCATGGCCTAGTCTGCCTCATGGACCATGGCAGGGGGGGGGTTACCCTCCCTGGGCTCCGGAGGTTTTCCTCAAGCCTCCGGGAGGGTGAAAACAGCCTCCCCAGGCTCCGGAGGCCCCTGGAGGCTGGAAACGGGCCCGTTTCCGGCCTTTCCAAGCTTCTGGTAGGGCCATCTTTTTGCCCTCCCTGAGTCTCCACGTACGGCCTGCACTTAGCTGCATTCAAAACAGGCTGTGTGGGGACTCCTGGGAGGGGTGGGTGGGGCCAGCCAGGAGTGGAATTTGGGGTTCTCCAAACTGCACAGAATCTTAGCTAGAGGTACTCCTGAACCCCTGTGAACCCCCTACCAGTACCCTGCTTTAAGACAATCAAATGATATTTTGTTATTATGGCATTGTTGTTACTATTCTTTTTTTATTCCAAGAAAGTACCACTAAAGGCTGACTAACATATTTATTTGGTTTTTTGTTTGCTTATTTAATTAATGTAACCAACTAGCATTTTCAACTGATAGCTAATCCTGTAACTTTCAGAAAAATGGGATTCTACAATAGCAATTCCATGTCATGTTGAACAAGGAGGGTTCATTCCCCTCATCCATGTTCAAATGCAACAGAGTGATCAGTGCTGTTTCTGCCTTCTTGATTCTTGAAGTCTAACCTCCCCACCACAAGTCTTCTCTCTTGAACAGACACATCCTAGACTGCACCCAATATTGTGTAAAAAAGTCCACTTACATTATTTTTCCCTTCTCCTCCTTTCTGCTACAGCTCAAGAATTGCTTCCCAAGCCTGCTCTGTATGATTCCCAAATACTGCAGATATTTACAATCAATCAATCAATCAATCTGCAGCTACTCATCAATTTTCTCCAACACACTTCATATATCCATTCCTAAAATGAAAGTCATTCAAAAAAGCAATCTAAAGTCTTGAAAACTAGATTCTCAAGAAGACTACAGTTATCCTTATGAGCAGAGAATAACAATCTGCTTTTCCTATTGCTTGTGGGTGGCTCTAATAAAATAATTTCATTTAAAAATGAAATAAATTCTGAAGAGACAAATGAGGAAATACTTGTTTTCTTGCTTTTGGAAAAGAAGCAATAGTCTATTACAAAGGGTAAAACTAAAATAAGATTACAACCACAAATATCTCCTCTGTGCTGTTTTAACCTTGGATGAACATAATTAATTCTAATAGGCAGACCACAACTTTACTGTCTTAATTTATAATGCTATTCCAACAGCATTAAATCTACAAAACCTTATAAAAACAAAGCCTGGAATACTCTTACAAAAGCTTCACAGAACAGTTGGATGATAAAGCAGCAATTATGGGAAGGAAGAAATTACTATGCCATTAATTTGCCAGCATTCTTTGGATGGTCAAAAGAAGCATACAGAAAATGTCAATGCCACAGGAAAGAAATGCATTTCTTAGATACCATGTTAACCACTGGTTCCCAACCTTTCCAATGCCACGACACTTTAATACAGTTCCTCATGTTGTGGTGTCTCGGTTCCTAAGACCATCGAAAATATGTGTTCACAGGTGACCCCTGTGAAAGGGACGTTCGACCCCCAAAGGGGTCCCGACCCACAGGTTGAGAACCACTGATGTTAACTATTTGGGTTGTCTAATTGTTTCTCTTTCTTTCTTAAACTCCTTGACCCAAACCCAGCTTTTTCCAAGATTTATTCTCTGAATTGATACTGTAATATTGCAATTTAACTAAATTTTAGGTATGCTAACTAAATCACTTTTCTAATCTTTCCTTCCAATGTTCACCTGCCTGGCTGCTCCTTAGTGTTTTTTCTCCCATAGCTAAGTATTGAGAGCTAGCTATGCATCTCTGAATGAGCTACATCATAATGCTGTGATAATTAATACTCAAAATATGCATGCTCCTAGTGTTTATTACTCATAATTGTATATCATTAATAGATATACACTGTGTATTTCAGCCTCAGGTGTCTTAAAAACCAAAAATAATCTATCTTTTTGTATTAAAAACTGTTTCTAGAATATAAATCATAGAACCAGTGATATAAATGAAGGCTCTTGTCCTTTTGGAATATATATTTTGCTTCTGATTCTTCAAAAATATGTTAAAAAGATATTGTTATAATTTTCTGCGAAGTAAACCCAATGTATTTTAATAAATTGCACTGTATTCAGATTCCCTTCATAAGAATCTTGCTTTTAAATTTGAACATATATGCTGGCTTTTCCCCAAATTTGCAGACCATTATCCTATAATATATTGGGGTCCCCACACCTGAGCCTTTAAGGGCAAAATGGTTGGCTGTTTTCCTGTAACTGCAGTTCTTCCAATGGATCTGTGCATTGCTCTTCATTTAGGAACATTTTAAAGCTGAGCTTTGTAATGGGACTTCATCCACTCCAGCCCATGGCCTCACCAAGTAATGCAAAGTACATGGAACCAACACAGTGACTTGAAAAGAGTAAAATATGAGGTTACTTAAGAAGGACTGCAAGGAGAAGCTAAGGTCAATGTAGAATGTCATTAATTTCTTTGTTTCTTTTTTCTCAATAGATTTTAGACTGTGTTTGTTAAAAATCCATACCGTGTACTTTGCATTACTTGGTGAGGCCATGGGCTGGAGTGGATGAAGTCCCATTACAAAGCTCAGCTTTAAAATGTTCCT